ACAAGCCTGCCAAAACATATACCCAAACCAAAAGGCATGAAATCACTACACAAATAAAAATGTTTTCTGTACCTGTGGATTACATTAACAAACTGCACGTGATACAGTTTATTTTTTACATTCTTGTTATTACTGGCTTCATTATTTCCGCCTTCAGTAGCCAGAAGAAAAACAACTTAATCATAACAAAAGGCACAGCCACTACTGAAATGCTGGCTTTTAAATGGGCATTTAAAACTTTCAAAACTCATAATTCACTGCAGTAAGTCACAAGTCATAATTTAGAGGCACATAAGAATAGCTTTACTGTGAGCATTCATTAGGTATCAAGTCCCTCATACATTACTGCATTAGGCTTTTAATGTGAAAAGGCTTCTGGAGGCTGACCAAGTGTGAACCCATGCATGTGTCCTGGGGATACAGATGATGGCGTTTTCAGATTATTACAAATATTTGTAGTGTGTCAGCCTTCCCAAGGCACAGTGAGGGTCCAGTGAACCATCATCTCTCACTGTCTCTGGAGTAAATACTAAAAAAAATAAAATAAAGTTAAAAACAAACAACCAAATAAAAAAAATCCTACTTAAAAGTAAAAGTAAGAATGTAAACATCCCAAATTCTGAAAACATTCGCTGGTCTTCGCTGTGTTCCACAGTTATGCGAGATGAAGCTTTCTTTTCACGGTTCTACCAACATGATGAGGAGTCATTTACAACATTGCCATAAAAATGCTGAGCTTCAGCAGCAAAAAGACGAAACATAGCAGCAGTGAAAAAGGACTGGATTTATTGCACAAATCAAAACAAAATAATCAATTTAAACCAAGTTGATTATTCAACCTGAAAAAATAATTCTAATGCTCTTCCCTAGTGAAAATGGCTATACCATTAAGACTATATGGTGGTAGTACATTTTATAGTTTACAGTTATTCTATGATTTTTTCTCACCTATCCTTTAGATCAAATCCATGTTTCACTGTGACACATAAGGAGTGACATTTTGTTTCCCTGTCATACTTATGCATGGAAATGGAAATAAACTGTAAAACTGAACCAACTAATAAATATCTAACAGAAGTTAGATATTTGTTTGTCTGGCTGTTTTCATACAGTCCTATTTTGCAATCATTTGGTAAAATGTAAAGTCACTTTACTTCTTGCTTGCACCATTCCAGTCATCTTGCCTCTCGTTCACAGAGCAAACCGTGGAGAGAGCGTGGATGGCATATCTGATGCATCTCTGATCAAACTGAAATGAGCCCTGAGGTGGATGTTAAATGGACAACAGCTCTTTCATTCATCTCAGCCTGACTCATGGCTATGTATGAGGTTACTTTCACACCTCATTTACAGAGTCTGCTAGCATGCTACATTCAATCTCACACAGGCTATCACATGTACAGATATCTGCAATACACACGCGCACACACACACACACACACACACAGCTTATATACTCAGATGGCCTACTGTTGCACTTTTGACAGCCAGTTAGCAATTTATTGACCGGCGAATGTACAGATGGACAGAAAGAAGTATAAAATAATACTGAGTTCAAAAATACGGTATAGAGTGTAGCATTGTTAGAGACATTTTTAAGTGCAACTTCTCAAAAAGGAACCACTGGAGGCATGATGCAATCAACTATAATGATGTCAGAGACAAGTGGCCTATGAGAGACCATTGGGCCCTTAACTGCTCCAATCTGCAACTGGTGCTGTCTACATCTGTCAGGAAAAACAGGCTGCACATTGGAAGCAATTGTGTGTTCTTGCGTGACAGAGAGATGTTGAGCAAAAGCAGTGATGTGAGTGAGTATTTGTAAGAGAGGGTGATCTTTTAGGGGGAAGTGGAGAGGTTACTTGGCCTTTTCAGCTTCAATCACAGCCATTTGGTGTGATGCTGTTATACAAGCGCCGGTCTTCTTCTAAAGAAGAAGACAGTGGGATATAATTTGGCCTTTACTTAAGCTGAAGAATGAATCTTTGTCGGGGACTTCATCATCATTATGCTGTTCTTATTGCGATGATTACCACCACCATGAGCTGAATTGGAGAAAAGAGACAGAAGAATAGGTGAAAGAAGAGTGATTGGGAAAAAAAAATTCAAAAGCAAGGAATGATGAAGAAGATAACAGTAACAATACAAATATGGAGAATTACAGAGAAGAAAGCACTGGAACAAGAAAGAGACACTGAAAGTAGGTAAGGTTTAGAGGGAGAGAAGCTAAACCAAAGAGGAAGAACCTTAGAAACTCAGATTATAAAAAGAATGAAAAGAATTTAACATTTTTAAACTATTTCTTTCTAGCAAGCTTCTCTCCTTATGTGTTGGTCTTACAATCCCTGTCAATATATATACACCGTTCAGCCACAACATTATGACCAGTGGCAGGTGAAGTGAATAACACTATCTGTTACAGTGGCACCTGTCAGTGTGTGGGGTATATTAGGCAGCAAGTGAACATTCAGTCCTCAAAGTTGATGTAATGGAAGTAGGAAAAATGGACAAAGTAAGGATCTGAGTGACTTTGACAAGGGCCAAACTGTGATGGTGAGATGACTGGGTCAGAGCATCTCCCACACTACAGGTCTTGGTGGGTGTTGTTGGTCTGCAGTGGTTAGTACCTACCAACAGTGTCTAAGGAAGGACAGATGGTGAACTGGTGACAGGGTCATGGACATCCACGGCTCACTGATGAGGAGGTTGACCCACTACAGATTAAACTTTTAACTTCCATTTGTACTTTTCAAAAGATTAAAATTGATTTGAATCTTTGTTAAAATGGTTGAAAATGAGAAATACTGTACATTGGTCTCTATGAAGAGAAAGAGTCAGGGGCTGTAGTGGTGATATCACACCTAGAGTGGGGAGGCTGATGAACATGTCTAAATCATTATCCCTAACTTGCCCTCACAACCACTCCTCACTCCTTTTGCATCAGTCTTTCACTGAATGGCAGACACATTTGTGCTCTATGGCAGCAAACAGATTCACAGAAGATGCACAGTGAGCTGCAGAGTGAAACAAGTGCCAACCAACTGCTGCATTGATTCCTGTGTACACAGTAATAGGGTGGTCATAATGTTATGGCTGATTGGTGTAGAAAGTGTAGAAGTAGGACTAGACAGAAAATAGAAAGCAGGAATAGGGAGGAGGGAGACGTGAAGAGGGGCTGGTATGGGAGAAAAGAATACGTAAATGGGGGACAAGAGCAACAAAAGACAATGAAGAAGAGCACTCTTATCTTTCCTTATGTAGGTTAATTGACTGAGGAATTCAAGCAAAAAAGATATAATTCAATCCAATGCACAGACATTAACAATAAAAGGGCTGGTTGCATATGAAATGATTCTTAACCTACACACACACACTCACAAACCAAGCTAGTGTGTCATCCTAGTATATTTCTAATTATCAGCTAATTGTTATTCACTATCATTAGGAGGGTGGTTTTTTAATTGTAATGTAGCCAAGCAGAAAGCCTACCTATACATGTGGGGGACAATTAGCCACCTCCATTAACCCCTGGTTAATTACAACCTCCAGTGCTGCCTCCCACAGCACTTTTCCCACTACTTTTTTACCCCTCATCTCTATCCCTGGGCCTTCATCCCCATTTTTTCATTTCTGCCCTCATTTCATTCATCTCCAGTCTTCATTGACTGTTTGATTCAAATGTATATCTGTTGTGAATGTCCAAAGATTTTTTTCCCTAAAAAGCTGTGCTTCATTTTACTTTTTTAGGTTACCATTGCCCTGTTTCAGCCCCTTATGTCCCTGCCTGCTCCATCAATATTTCTGTCCTTTACACTTCTAAATGAATTTCCTCTACGATGAAACTAGGCAAGCAAAACCACATAATATGCCTTGAAAACCGATGCAAACAGGTGTCCCAACTTTTGTTGACTTCCTTACAACAGCAAATTCAAAAGCCTGTGTTACTACACCACCTGAAGCATTATTTGGAACAAGACAATTAACAAAGGAAGTCAGATCTTTTCAACCTATTGCAAGATAATGACCGCAAAACACCTTCAGGCTTAGTAGAAAAAAATGAACAAGACGGTTGGCTTCAAATGACAGAACAGCCAGAACATAGTGAAAGAGAGTGAAGAGTGTGCATGAAAGTAATGCAGCCTACAAGTGCAACACATTGGTGGGAACTTCTGCAACAGTGCTATCCAACCCAGCAATATATGATTTCAGTTGTAGAAAGAATGAGACCAGTGTGTTTGACTATTGAATTACACTAACAACAAGTCGAACTAGAATTACCATCTTGTGTTTGTATGCCTGTAGTGAAGACTTTGATGGAACTTAATAAAGGAT